GCAAGAGAACTATAACTAAGAGCTACACTAACTAGTTTCAATTACCACAAGCTCTACACAAGTAAAGACACAATGTAATACAAGAGAGTGGTAGAGAGGTATACCACCATGGCAAGTGATCAATCAATGAATACCAATGAATACTAAGGAGACGATCAAGACACAATGTTTTTTCCTCTGAGGTTCACTTGCTTGCCGACAAGCTAGTCCCCACTGTGGCGATTCACTCACTTGGAGGTTCACGTGCTAATTACAATCACACGCCAAACCCGCAACCGGGTGCCACACAACAAACACAAGATGAGGATCACATAAGCCACAAGCAATCCACTAGAGTACCTTTTGGCTCTTCGTTGGGGAAATGTCAAGAACCCCTCACAATCACCACAATCGGAGCCGGAGATAAAAACCTTCCTCCGCTCAACGATCCTCACTGCACCAGGCCATCTAGGTGGCGGCAACCACCAAGAGTAACAAGCGAATCCCATAGCGAAACACGAACACCAAGTGCCTCTAGATGCAATCACTCAAGCAATGCAATTGGATTCACTTTCAATCTCACAAAGATGATGAATCAATGATGGAGATTAGTGGGAGGGCTTTGGCTAAGCACACAAGGTTGCTATGTCAATGTAAATAACCAAGAGTGTGAGCTTGAGCTAGCCATGGGGCTTAAATAGAGGCCCCAACAAAATAGAGTCGTTGGGCTCACACTGCTCTGCCTCCACGGGGCGATCGGACGCACAGGTCGGGTCGACCAGACGCAGGACCCCAGTGCTCGGTCCACGGATCTACGCCACGTGTTCCTTCATTTGATTCTCCACAGCGTGATCCTAACGGTTAGATTCGCCCACGCCAGAACTCAAGTGATGACCGGACGCACAGGAGAGGACCGAACATGTCGGTGCCAGCCCTGTTCGCACGCACGCCCATGCCATCACCCAATGACCGGACGCACTGCTCCCCGCGATAACCCAGCGTCAGATCATTTCTAGTAAGCATATAGAGAAGATTTTCATGACCGGACACGTTCGCTTAGGTGTGACCGGACCCAAGCCAGAGTTCAGTTCTTCTTCTCCTCTACGCACCAATGCTTCGTGACTGACGTCAGCGTACGTCACCTTCTGACCGGACGTAGGCCCTGCGTGTCCGGTCACTTTCACTATTTAGCATCTGGTCAAAGGACTGAGGGCGGCCTTCACTGCGTGTCACTGATCGGACGTGGCTATTGAGTCCGGTCGCTGCTGGAGCAGCGTCCGGTCACCTCAAGATAGCCCCTTCTCAACTCCAACTTTGCCACCCTTGATTAAATGTGCCAACCATCAAGTGTATCACGTTGTGCACGTGTGTTAGCATATTTTCACAAACATTTTTAAGGGTGTTAGCACTCACTAGAGTCTAAATGCATATGCAATAAGTTAGAGCATCTAGTGGCACTTTGATAACCGCATCTCGATACGAGTTTCACCCCTCTTAATAGTACGGCTATCGATTCTAAATGTGATCATACTCGCTAAGTGTCTCGATCACTAAACCAAAAAGCTCCTATCAAGTTTCACCTTTGCCTTGAGCTTTTTGTTTTTCTTTCTTATTTTTCTAAGTCCAAGCACTTGATCATCACCATGGTCACACCATCATCATGATCTTTACCATTGCTCCACCACTTGGAATAGTGCTACCTATCTCACGATCACTTAGATAAACTAGGTTAGCACTTAGGGTTTCGTTAATTCACCAAAACCAAACTAGAGCTTTCAACCACTCTGTACACACCAGAGAGCTCCGATGCTCAAAACATCCCAAAACGCATGCTAAAACCTTCTCAAGAACTACTCATCGGTGCACTACTCTGGTGCATATAGCTCTCGTGCATTCAAATGTTGTTTCTCGCCTGTTGTTAGATTATTACGCAAAATCTCCAGCGCATGCACTCTGATGCACACCAGAAGGTAATTTGTGAATGCATTTTTAGCCATACAATATGCACTATTTGGAACCTCCGGTACAACAACTCCGGTGCACACCGGAGGGCTCTGGTGAGTGCAAAATAATATCACCAAGTGCATCTCTCAAACTATTTTCGCAAGTGTGCTAACTCTCCAAATGTGTTCCACATGAACACCAACACTTTAGCACTAAGTTACCATTTCAAAATATTTTTCAAAGCATTTTCACTTGATTGCTTTCCACGCCACTCGATCTAAATGCAACATGAGTTAGATCTCTCTCCTAGTGGCACTAGTAACCATTCAGTTCACAAGAAAGCCCCTCTTGATAGTATGACAATCTATCCTAAACCTAGTCAAACACTTCTCTACTCAACCCTTGACCGGTGAAATGAAATGCCCTACAAATATACCTTTGCCTTGCACATTCCATTCCATCTCCATGTCGGTGATGCCACAACAAGCATCTAACCTCCATCTTGATCAAATGACGAACAATGGTCATCCATCAATGTAGCCAACCACGCTACCTTGATAATTGCCTATAGCATGAAGCTCCTCCTTCATTCTCCATCAAGCCACCTGATCACCACAACAAAGCAACGCTTGACTTATCTTCCATGAATGAAATATTCCACTTCATAGCTTCACATGGTCTTATTGGTTCATCGATCGTAGCCTCGCTTGCTCTTCACCATTACCTCGATCCATCGGTGCCAAGCCCTCTACTCACACTTCAGCGCCTTGACGATCCATCGCACCTGAGTCTCTAGCTTGCCCTTCACGCTTGCAATTTATCCTTCATAGCCAAGCCTCGCCTCTTGATCTTCTCCACCTAGCCATATGACACCATATCATGTCTCATATTCAATGGGATCCTTTTGGAAAGTGAACCAAGCATACCCTAAAAGTCCTAAACAAGAGCACATTTGGTTTCTCAGGCAAAAACTCCTAATAAGGGCGCCTTAGGTTTCTTAGGCAAATATTGACTAACCATTATGAGTGAGAAACTAAAGTTATAAATGTGTTTGAATAGCCAGCTAGCTATTCTCGGAGTGTGTGCTGGCAAGCTGTGCCAATATTTTTCTGTGCTGGGAAGCTATACTAGCATTTTTGTGCTGGCAAGTTTTTCGATGCTAGCTGGCTACAAAACCAAACACGCTCTAAGCCTTTTGTTGTGTTGACCTGTCGCAACTTGCTTGTTGTAGCCACCTTACTTAGCTGGTTTGGGTTGGTACAAGGTGGGTGGCAGGAGGGATACTTATTTGTGACCATTAAATGAGTGCTCTTCAACGAAGACGTCAGTCAAAAATGATTGTAGCTGCACCATATCGATGTAGCACACATATGACACAATTGAACGTATACTCTGTCTTTTGATCGTAGCTGTATATCTGTCGCAAAATTCAAAAGAGCACAACAACTCTATCATATAAAAAAGACAATAAACAGTGAGACAACATGTCACATCATACTCTGCGATGTACTCTCTCCGTCCCATTAAAAGTGTCGTTTTTTTGGCTTTTGAACTTCTTGTTTGATCGTTCGTCTTATTCAAAATTTTAATATAAATAATAAAATAAATAAATCATTATTAAAGTATCTCTACTGATAAAATAAGTCATAACAAAATAAATAATATTTATATAAATTTTTTGAATAAGATGAACAGTCAAACAAGAAGTCGGCCCCGTTCGGCTTATCCCATATTCGGCTTGTTTGACTTCTTTTTTCAGTCGGAATAGTGTTTTTCTCTCACAACATTTTAGCCAGAACAGTATTTTTCAGCCAATTTTAACTAAAATTCAGTTAGCCGAACGAGCCCTATAAGTAAAAAAACAGCACTTTCAATGAGACGAAGAGAGTAATTGACTGTACACCCTGACTTTCGGTCACAATCAGACAACTGCCTGGAATCCAGGAAAAGCCCATCGAAAATTCAAAAGAGCACAATAACTCTATCATATAAAAAAGATAATAAACAGTGAGACAACATGTCACATCATACTCAGTGACGACTCCCGTCCTATTAAAAATGTTGTTTTTGACTTTTGAACTTTTTATTTGGCTGTTCGTCTTATTCAATTTTTAATATAAATAATAAATTAAATAAATTATTATTAAAATATCTCTAATAATAAAATAAGTCATAAAAAATAAATAATATTTATATAATTTTTTGAATAAGACGAATAGTCAAACAAGAAGTTTAAAAGTAAAAAACGGAACTTTCAATGGTCCTGTTCGTGTGCCCTTAAACCCGACTTGATCCGCTTCTTTTTTTATCCGGAACAGTATTTTTCTCTCACAAATTCTTCCAGAATTTCTCCAAACCATCCTAATTCTTCCAAAACTATACCATCCGAACGGGACCAATGACATGGAGAGAGTAATTGACTGTACACCCTGTCTTTTGGTCACAACGAGACAACTCCTGCATTGCCTGGAATCAAGGAAAAGCCCAGTCCCACAGCTAGTTTGTCCTTTTTAGCTCCTAGAAACCATAGAGAGGCCTGGTTTAGATTGCAGGAGTTAAAAAAATTTAGCACGGTAACATTTTTATTTGTATTTGACAATTATTGTTCAATTATGGACTAATTAGGCTTAAAAGATTTGTCTCGTAATTTACAATTAAATTGTGTAATTAGTTATTTTTTATCTATATTTACTGCTGCATGTATGTATCCATAGATTCGATGTGATGGAGAGAGAGTGAAAAAACTTGGAACTTTAAAGCAATCTAAGGAATCAATGTTTGGCACTGTAGCACTTTCGTTTGTATTTGACAATTATTGTCCAATCATGGCCTAACTAGGCTCAAAAGATTCGTCTTGTAATTTACAATCAAACTGTATAATTAGTTATTTTTTTATCTATATTTAATACTCCATACATGTGTCCAAAGATTTGATGTGATGAAGAAAGAGTGAAAAAACTTGTAATCTACACAAGGCCAAAGCCACACAGTAGAAAAGGTATGCATGGAAATCCCCGCATTGGGCCGTTGCCCGTTGGCGATTCTGGTAGTACACGTACACCACTGGCGCAGCGGTCATGTCGGGTTCAAACACCGCATCCCCCAATCGAACGGTGCTGCGGGCGCCTTCGATTCGAATCGCCAATCCTCAGCCGCCCAATGTGCGCCTCGCCCAAAATTCAAACACGCCCAGCCTATCCCGACGTGGCAGTGCCCATGAATACGCCCCAACACTCAGGGGCAGTATCGTCATTTGTCTCCCGCAGCCAGAAAGGGCCGAGGACGCGCAGCGCGTGCGCAGCACCCAACCCCTGCCTATTTTGCTCTGTTCTGGACGCTACGCTCTCCTCTCCCCTCCCCTTCGTCTTCCGCCATTCCCGCTATCGCGGAGCGCAGGGTGAGCTCCTCGTCTTCTGCGGCAGCATCGGAAGGGTGAGCTCCTCGTCTCTCTGGCTGCTCTCGACGCGGCGGTCTGGGACTCGCCGCCAAGTATATTGCTGCGCTCGTTTGCAAGTGGGGTTTTCGGTTCCTCTGTTCTAACTTCGTTGGGGTTTTGTTGGGGCTGGTGTGGTGAAGCTGGTGGATGGCGAAGGTGGATTCGGTGGCGCCGGTCCCGAGCCCGACGTTCATGGACGCCACTCCCCTGAACCCGCCGCCGCCGCTGGTGGTGGAGGAGCTCGTGCTGCGCCGCAGTGCTCGTTGCCTCAATAGGCCAACCCGGCCCAGCTACGCGGACCAGGAGCCTCCTAAAAAGCCCGGCGGCCGGGGCCGGGGCAAGCGGAAGAGGGATGAGGAGAAGCCAGAGCTGGTGGCGGCGCAGCAGGGTGCCAAGAGCCCTGGCAGGAAGGTCTCCAAGGTCGAGGCGGGTGAGAGGAAGCCGATGCCCGTGATTGCGGCGGTGCCGGTCTCTTGCGCTGGCGTTGCTGCGGAAGACGATGCGACGGGGACAGGGAAGAGCGCCAAGCTGAGGGTGAAGGAGACATTGAGGGCGTTCAACAGCCACTACCTCCACTTTGTGCAGGTACCGTTGTGTGTCTGAATGCTCAGGTATTATCCAGTTTGGTTCATGTTTTTCGCTGAACTTGTAAGCATGTTGATACAGGAGGAGCAGAAAAGAGCTCAGGCTGCGCTACAGGAGATTGAGGCTAAGAGTGGCCTCAAACGTCAGACCAAAGGGGTAAAAAGGTGCGAATCTTAGCTCTGTCTTGGAATTTATGTAATACCGATTTCTCGTATGCGTTTGTTCGTTAACTGTGCTTATGGGTCTATGAGTTGTATCATGGTGAAAACTGTTCGGTAATTTTGTATGCTACTTTGCCCTTATAAATGCAGAAGAGCAGTAAGCAAGAGGCTGAAGCTGAGGAGAAAGAGAAACGCCCATCAAAGCGGCCTGACCTGAAGGCAATCACCAAGGTACATGTTGTTCTTTGCCATTCTTCTCCGTTACCGAGCTGAATCCCTATATGTGTTTGCTATACTTGCTGGTCTTATTCTTATTGTTGAAATCCCAGATGCAAGAAATGAATGCCGTGCTTTATCCAGAGAAGAGGATTGGGCATCTACCAGGTTAATCTTTTACTTCTCTCCAAGGAAAAATTTGTATTGTGAAGTTTGAGGCGCATGAATTTAGTTATATATATATATATATATATATATATATATATATATATATATTTCCATTTTCTATATGGATGTGTAAAGTGATGGTCTTATCCAATCCTTCTCAGGGATCGATGTCGGAGATCAGTTTTATTCTCGTGCTGAAATGGTAGTGTTGGGCATCCACAGCCATTGGCTCAATGGCATTGACTACATGGGGATGAAATACCAAGCAAAGGTAACAGCAGCAGACATTTCTGTAGAAGTAAAGAGACGTTTTTCAAGAAAAAAATAGACGGGAAGGTTTTGGATCAGGAAATTTGCAAGTTTACTTCATTCTGAACATGCCATAGAACATCTCTTTTGTTCATTTGATAGGGGAATCACACCTTGATCCAACATGCTTTTATCGCTGTATGTAATTATTCAATATTAGCATTTCCCTTTCAGCACTCCCAAGTTACCCCTTCCGATCAGATATATAAGTCCATCTAGGTGTATCTTTAGTCAAACTTTTTTTTACCTTTTGACTATCAATATCTGAATTTTAGTCGTATACTAGATTCATTATGAATCAAGAACCGTTGCTAGACTGCTGACCGCCTTTGCAAGTTGGGGGCTTCCCACCCTGCAGTTTGTCCCTTGTGTGATCAGGCCCATGAAACGATACAGCATACCCTGATTGCTTGTGTTTGCAAGGCAGGTTTTGACAGCTATTTTTTTTTCTGTGTTGGGGTTGCTTCCTTTTGCAGTAGCTGGTGGAGCAAGAAAATCAAGGCAGTTCCTAAGGAGATAAAGAAAGGGCTTTATTCGCTCATAATCTTAGTTGCTTGGGAGATTTGGAAACATAGGGACCACTGTGTCTCCGAGGGTGGTAGTCCTTGCTTTCAAAAGGTTCTGCTTGTAGTTCATGAGGAGTGTAATCTGTGGTGCTGGGTTGGTGCTAAGGCTTTACATAGATCCTATGTAGGTTGTTGCCATTGGTACTGCTTAGAATCTGATGGTTTTTTTGTCGTGTTTTTGTTTCCGTGTGGTGGCGGCTGTTAGCGTTATACTAGGTGGCCTAGGGGTGTTGGCTCTTGCCACTCATTTGTTTTTTTCTACTTAATTAAATGACACAAAGATCTCTTTAAGTCGTTTGAGAAAAACAAAGATTCATTATGAAAGATAGATCATGTTATATAGATCTCTTTATATTTTCATATCGATTGGCAAGATCTGCATTATTTAAGATAATATATTTTTATAGATTTGTGTGTCAAAGTGTCATATTGGAGACTATGTCAATGTCCTCATGGATAATTCCTTGCTTTGCAACATCTTGTAGTTGTTTCTTTGTATTTTTCTAAATGTTGAGCAATTTATTGGCTATTCCATTTCAAGCTTCTAAAACAAACCAGAAATGGCTCCTAAAGGGAGTGATCATGTGCAGTAACTAATAATTTTGAATTTAATTATGCAGAAGGAGTATGAGAAGTTAACTTTTCCACTAGCCACCATATTGTAATGTCGGGGATATATGAAGATGATCTAGACAAAGCCGATGAAATTATTTATCACGGGTCAAGGAGGAAACGATTTACTTGGTAACCATCGCCAAATTGGCTCTCAGCAGTTGAAACGTGGGAATTTAGCATTGAAGGTTGGTTTCAATGGTTCTTATTTATTACTTAGTTATATCCAATGTTTTCTGATCGGCTTATCGTTCCTAATCGGTCTGGTACCGATTAGGACGATCAGGACGATTAGTCGACCTCTCCGATCGGTCTAATCGTCCATATAACCGTCCAAAGACATATAACGAGACTATATAAGTATATATCATATATGTATGGTATATATATAATATACCATATACTATATATTTATATAGTAGACATCGAACATATTTCTAGTTAGTTGGTTACTTACCTATGAGATCGACTCCATATTCTTGTCCCAACCTCCATATGTTTGCTTGATTTTACTGCGAAAATAATAGATAACTTGAGTAAGTAGATGCAAAAGAATAGTGTGACGATGACGACATTACAAAGAAGACATACTCAATCCAGATCCGGAAAAGTAGGAATTAAGAAAACCGGCATAGTCCACGACTTACTTAATATAGTACGAGTCTTTTGAGTACATACTACAAACTAAATAATTAAACACTTTGCAACAACATTCATAGTTTTAAGATAACACTAGCTGCCATTCAATCGAAGATTCAACGACCATCTAAATCTAAATAAGCAAATCATCATCCAAATTGAAGCCTCCTCCTCCATCTCCACCCGAGTCTCCATCCACCTCCATTCCTACTTCACATTAGATGCCTCTGGCTGAACTTGTGCTTCATGGTCATCATCTTCATCATCAATGCTATCTCGGAGCGTGGGTTGCATTTACAGCGATCCTTGGGCGCTTCTGGTATACATCTCTGTTGACAGAGGTCTGCTTTGCACGACGGCAAAGCACCCTAAACAAGTTATGGCCTGTAGATTCTCAAATGCACCAATAGCTTCATCAACAGTAGCCCAAGTCGATTCCTCACAATTCTCATCCACACATTCATTATCCCATTGAAATTCATCTAGCGTGAGAGGGTTGCTCTTCTGTCCTTTGCAACCAAGCTCTCTGATTTTTTGAAACCTGTTTGACATCTTTTTGTTGTAACTGACATAGACCAATTTATTGAACCTCTTGTGCTCTAATTTGTTCCTCTTTTTGGTGTGGGACTGCATAAAAAATAATGAACAACACATTGGTTTGCAAGCAATATCGCAGATACATAATTGATTTTACTTCGAACTAGCAGTGGTACTTATATGGGAAAAAAACACTCCAATTACGCTCACAACCTGATGCAGAGCAGCAAAGACTAATAATTTTCTTTGCTAGACTTTGGAGCTCAAATGAGTAGCCACCATAGGAATTCCACCAGCGAACTGAAACACAATTACCTAATAATCAGGTCATAACAAAGCAAATATTGAGAAGGATTGAAGGTTTTAAAATATTCAAAACTTACTAGGGTTCTTTTTGTCTCTGTCCCTTATTGCTAATGGCATTGAGAAGCCTTCACCTTCAGACTGTTCATAATCATCAGCTTGACGAGAAATCTTGGATTGTTCACTGTCATCCGCCACAATTTTGTATAAAATTTCATTGAACATGATCCTTAGCCTTGCAGCTTTTCTCTTGGTTTTCTCCCTTAAGGCAAAGAACTTGCCTGGATTCAAGAATAGGGCTGCCCCATACAACTTCTGTTGCATTTGGTTTTCCCACCTATTATCATAGCGCTTCATTACTTCTTTAAGCAAGTCGGTTTTAGCTTTTAAAGAATCTTTGATGGTGGTCTTTGCATGATCCATGGCTGCCATGATCTCAGGAGCTGCTAGTGTCTCATCCCCATCTGCAATCCTTAGAGCGACGAGAAGGGGCTGTGAAGCTCTCAAGCAACACTCCACTCTATTCCAAAAAGGCATGGAAAGGACAATATCCTCAACTTGTTTGCCTTCACTAGTGTTAGACAGACTGTTAGCCTGTCATTCTTCACTAACAACTAAAGCTCTCAAGCCATTCTTGTGCTTGTACATACTTGCCAATGTTAGGTAAGAAGTAGCAAATCGAGTCACAGCTGGTCTCACAAGATCTCCACCTATGCTTGTATAGAAATCTGCACACTTTCTTGCCCCAATTGATGGCAGTGTTGAATTCCTTTATCTCACCAATGTCTTGCAGCAACAAATTCAGACAATGGGCAGCACAAGGTGTCCAAAACAAATGTGGGATCCTCTCCATTAGAATCCTTCCCGCTGCCTTAAAGTTTGCCCCATTGTCTGTGACAACCTGCACCACATATTCCTTCCCAATCTTGTCAACTTGCTGCTCCAACAAATCAGCTAGCATTTGTGCATTTGCTATCTCACTTGAAGCATCCACTGAACCTAGGAAGAAGGTCCCTGCTGGACTGTTGGCAAGAAAATTGATTATATGGCGGTGGCTTGTATCCGTCCAACCATCGGACATGAGAGTGCAGCCATATTCTTTCCAACTCTCCTCATGCTTCTTTCTTAGTTCTGCTGTCCTGTTGACAGTCCTTTCAAGCAATGGTTCCCTGATGTCATGCATGGTTGGTGAGCGATACCCAGGTTCATACTGCCCAATGGACCCTGCAACAGAAGGGAGGAGGAAGCAGCAAGCAGCAGGGAAGATCCACGGATGGGCTGCTTGGATTGGAACTGGAAGGGAGGGAGGAGGGAGTGAGATGCACGCAGCAGGGAAGAGATGGAGCTTAGCTGCACACAATGGAGTGAGAGTATCTTGAGGAATGAGGAGAGAAAGAGTGGGGGTGAGGTATATAAGAGAAACCCTAATGGGCTGGCCCAAATAAATATAGCCCATGAAATCAAGTAGTCCATCGACTATTTAGTGCTG